GAGACATAAACAAACTAACAACGAGACATTCGAATATTATACGAAATATTCGAATGTCAAATAAAAATAAATAGAAATAGAAAAAAATCTGAAAAAAGAAAAAATTATAAAAACCTGAAAAAAAAATTAAATAATTAGCACCTGTAAACAAAAAAAAATTATTAATATCTGCAAACAAGGAAAAGATTAGTAAATGGTTTAATGGGGTGGGGTGTGGGTGGGGGAGCCACCCCCACCTTTCGCGCACTCGAAAAAATTTAGATGTTACGCGCCCAAAGCTAAACCGGCAAATGACTCGTGTAATAGCGCGGCGCCCTTTATACAGCCGCCGATCGGCCGATGGTCGACGGAAATTTCCAAAATTTACCGATTCTATTAATTATTATTTTTCCACTGTAATAACTGATAATTTATTAATTTTTCACTTTTATCATAAATTTACGATGTGGACAATTTGTTATTAACAATATTAATTTGTTATTAACAATCAGTGTAATAATTTATGAACTTTTTATAAATTAAAACTACATTTTAACATAATTACGTTATAAATTTAAGTAATAGCCAATAATTTATTGATTGTTTCATTTTTATTATAAATTTCCGCTGTGAGGAATTTCTTATTAACACTATTAATTTGTTATTAACAATCAGTGTAACAATTTATAAACTTTTTCCAAATTATAGGTACTTTCTAACACAAGTACGTTATAAATTCAAGTAATAATCCATAATTTATTAATTGTTTAACTTTTATTATAAATTTACATTGCGAACAATTTGTTATGAATAATAAATTTTATAATTTATGCATGTTTTATATATTAACACTCTATTAGCATCTCCATAGGATGAATTTCCATGATGTGTATATATATGTCAAAATATTTTTATTTCCTCTGTACTTTTGGCTAAAATGAAGTATTATTCGTAAAAATAAAATGTTATTAGAAGATTCATTCTCATCTGAAAAATTAGATGGGAGTTTATTTTTTAACTACCTCATATTAAATAGTCATTCATATTTATATATCGTGTAATAAAACAGTTTCAAATTTCAAGTGATTTAGACAAATTTCTTCTAATTTTGCAATTAGTATTGAAACGTACATGAAAACGTACTATATATAATACCGATACTAAATGTTTTTATTATTCTTATTATTTTTGTATCTCCTTTGTTAGTTAATTATCGTTATTATCAACACTGGAAATTTATTATAAAATTTGTGCTTATTTACGGTAGAAAATACTGAAATATTAATTAATTTACACGTTGGTTAATTTCTTTCTGTGCCATTATAATAAATTATGTAATACACATGATTTCACTTACGTTTGCATTTAAAAGACATTACTATACTGACAACACAATTGTTATTTCAATTTCTAACATCACTAAGCTATAAACATTCGAATAAAAATGATTTTTTAACCGAATATTTCTTTATTAATTTTAATATTTTTGCACGTGCAAAAATACATGCTTCTGTACCAAGAATATAATAAAATCCTGCTTATTACTCTTCCATAAATATTTTCCATGGTATTTTCTGATTTCAAACGTTTAAATATTTAACATCAATTTATACGAACGCGAAGTTTTGTGCGAGAAAATTCGTCACTCTACATTTTTGATTTATTCATCTACATTTTCTGCGAAAATAGCTGAATATTAAAGTTCCTTTTTACCTTATTTTTTAATATTGCTATCTTAACTGTAACGTGTGGAAAATTCGTTTACGTCGTGGAGGAAATTATTAGAGCGAAACGTTTCATTTGCTCGTGCTTTGAAAGGAAGGAAGGAAAGGAGGAAATGTGTAACTGTGGATAATTGAAATCCTGCACAGCATGGACATTTCTAGTACTATTTATTTTTACATCTGTGATATGTTCAACGTCACAATAGGAAAGGACCGATGAAACGAGATGTCGAACCGAGCCATAAAATTCTTTCTATAACCACGCTTTTAACTAATAATTAAATATCTCTTTTAATTACTGCATTCAAATAAATATGTAAATATAATACGATACTTATTTTGAGAATGATATCATGACAGCTCGAAGTACGTGTAAAAATGATGATTAAAAATATATTAGGTTGCTCGGAAAGTAATTTCGTATAAAAAAATAAAATCTTAAATAAAAAATAAAATATTTATTCGCTATAAGAAAATCGTCTTTCATTTTCATAAAAAAAAAGAACGAAATGACTTTTCGAACAACCTAATGAAACTGAAATACTTTTAAGTGTTACAATGATATACAGAGAAAAACAAAATCGAGAAATTAAATTTTTTAACTTAGAAAGCTATACATATATAAAAATATCCAAGCAATTAAATTTTTTAACTTGAAAAACTTAATATATATAAAAAATATATAAAGTAATGTAAAATATATATATGCAATAAGTTTTTCAAGTTAAAAAATTTAATTGTTCGATTGTGTTTTGCTGTATCTCTTTGTACCCCTAAAAAGTATTTCAGTTTTATGTATATATATATTTTTCCAGGTATTAAAATATATGGTGCAAGTGAAGAGAGATATGCCTATAATAAAGTTAACATTATAAGTATGATGCTTTCCAGTAAATTGGAATTAATAATCCCAATTCACTTCTAATTTTATTTTATTAATGAGAGGCTAATTGCATTCGCTTTTAATCCTAGAATATTATAATGGAGCACTGCGTTTTCCAATTATTTTTGCTTCAGCTATTTCAGAAGATAAAAGCCTTTGTTGTTTATGGTTATGCTTAATATTTTCCTGGCATAAGGAAACTTATCCGAAAGCTGTTCGAACTTGTTCGAAGAAAACGATGAAATTATGTTTCTCAACTCCATTATCACTTATTTTCATGCTTAAGTTAATACTATGTTTCTTACTATAACGTTAACATAGTTACTGTTATAATAACTTTCTAATTTTACAAAAAGATATTTTCATCTCGTTTACTCCATTAATAATAAAATAAAAAGACAACCACGTATTATTTTATTATCACCATATAAGATGTTATGTGACTAAGAAAAAGAATAATAATAATTATAACAATAATCGTGTTAGAAATTTCGTTCCTAACTATAAATTCCTGAGTCTAGTACTGACATAATTATAGTACTTTCAGATAATAGTACATCTGATTTAATATTCCAACATAGTCCTAGTACTTCTTAATAAATTTTCAATTGTATAAAAAGTATCTTCATTTTATTTATCCTGTTAATTAAAAATATAAATAACTTTTCATATTCTTAATTATAAAAAGAAAAATAAACAAACAATCTATAATCCATTTAAAATATTATACGATTAAAAAATAATAATATAATAATAATTAATAATAAAAATAATAACATAATAATAAAAATAATAATATTAATAAAAATCATATTGGAAATTTTTTTCCAATTATAACACAATAAACTTCTACTTTAACCTCACGAGAAAAACCCATCTGTTATTCACCAAACTGTTACGTCGCCATTGTAATTTTATCATTAAGCACATTGGGTCGTTTGGTACATAGCTATATACATTGAGAATCATCAATAATTACAGTCCACTTCGCGTCTCCTTATCGAATTTTATTTCATCTGGCCTGAATGAAATTATCAACGACTTTCAGTCAATCGTAAAAATATTTTCGCTCTCATATACTCCAACATTTATTCTCCAATTTACAAAGAAATATAGCGTTAAATATACCTGTGAAATAAACATACTGAATATCAAATATGTTATATTATAATAGAGAATAGTTAACATAACATATGATATTCACAGTAATGAAGAATTAACATTCTACGTGTCTCAGAATATTTTCCTAACCGACTGTACTGCTCTTATTTGGTCTTATTTTAATTTTCCCAATATCTACATTCTTTTAATTCTCTAAATAACTTTTAATCTTCGCTGCGTTTAATAATACGCAAACATTGCATGTACCAAAAAACATTTAATTCGTGGAATTACTTTTACTTGGAAATATAATTCGATTTTTCTCCAAAATCAATATATTACGACGCGAAAAGTTAATCGTGTGTTAAATTAATTCAATTAATTGTCCTACAATTTAAATACTGCATATCCCCTATCAAGTGTAACCCACATATGCTCCGCTAATTGTGGAAGTGGCTTAAGTTTTATCGTTTCCTCTCGAAATATTAAAACTTGCGCGCTTGAAATGTATATTAAAAATGAAAGGGAATTAAAAGAAAACTGCAAACTCGGTTTAACGATTTGACTCTGCTCAATTTTTCCAAAAATAATTTAATTTTATTATTTTCATTGAACTATTTATTACTAGTGTAATTTATGTGTGTAAATAATCAAGACTTTTCAACACTTTAGTGGTCACTGTATGTGTAACCCCATGAAGTTAACCCCATGAAATACAACTCAGCGTCATAAACTCTTCAAAATTGCAAATTTGTTTAAAATAATACTTAACACTTCTAAATTACAAAATTTTATTTTGCAAAAATGAATAACTAATTAAACGCCAATTAATCATTTTAATATTATAATCCAAAGAGCATCGATAAAATAAATTTTTTTCGAACTCGACGCATTCCTGTAAATAATTAATTTCAAATGTAAATTATACACAGAGTGTTCCACATTAGACACGATTTTTCAAGTATGTAATTTTACATAAATTTATGCTACCATTTTAATCTGCATTGGCCATTTTCATTTTTTCCCATGGTATCATAAAAACGAGTATACACAAGCCCTGTAAAAAAAATAAATAAATAAATCATAATTACCCTATTGACAGTCATAACGAACCACCCTGTATAACTACGGGGGTCCTCTCAGAAATTCTATAGGAATATAGTAAGTGGAGTTTGAGAATGATGCACCCACATAACATTTGGATGAATCTTCGGATACCGAGGGCTCCCCCTCCTCGCCCCCTCCAGTATTGGTAATTAAAAAATCAACAAAATTGTATTAGAATAATCTTAAAATGCTATTTATTTCCACAGAACGCCGACGCTGACGAACCCAGAGGACCTAGTGAATGTCGGGAGCCCCTTGAGGGAGGCTTCCCCGCGGCCAGAAGTACGAGTGGTGGCGCCATCTCACCGGCCGCCATCAGTGCTCGCGACGGTGAACAACGCGACCGGCGGCAATGGGTCCGCGAATCGCAAGTCGGTCAGCATACTGCTGCCCGAGCACTCGAGCGGATGACCCCAGCAGCAAAGCGGCTTTGTGCATCGTTGCGACAAGGAGCCACCATCGATCTAGGGATCCAGCGGAGACCGAACGACGAAGAAAGGCGAAGGCAACGATGACGAGGCTCGATTGCGCGACGAAGGGCCCCGGACCAAGTTCGTCGAGCAATCGACGCTCGAGTTTCAAGGGCGGCGACCATCATCCGCGGCGTCGTGGCACTTCCAGCGAAAATCTAACCCGCGCCGCGGCGATGATCGCGCGCAATTACGAGCATTCGTTCTTGGCAGCCAGATCTCTGTCGCGAATTAGGGGTTCAGCGATATCAGAGTGACTGCGGAAATTTAAACGGAGTAGACCGAACCAGTTAATCCGCGCTATTGGCAAACATTCAATTATCGACTTCGCTCCGACAGACCAAATTGCTGGATAATTCACGCTGCCGGAGTGATAGCCGAGACGACGACTCGTCGAGCAATTTCGAGCTAATTCGTTGTATCTCCGTAGCACGCTCTGCTTCTTTTCTTCGTTCGAGTTTCGCGCTGATATTCTGACTATTGTACACTCGCGGAGGAACAGCCTGTTAAGAGAGTTTGCTAGAGTTTGCGAGAGTTTCGAGGTCGAAGACGTAGAATCTCATCTACCTTCTTCCTCTGCGAGAGAGAAGACACGTCGAACGATTCTCAGAGGCGCAACGACTACGAATGTAACGTTGAGGAACTGCGAACTGTTTCCCGAAACCAATGTAAGCTCAGGTACTTCGTAGAGCACGTCACCTGGCTGAAAGTAGTTGGTCGAAGCTCGCGATTTGACACCGTATAAATTTAAGAAACACGATCCTGCCATGCGAGAGGGTAACATAGACCCCTTACCTCTTGTTCTCTTGCAAAAACGTTTGATCCTTGAGTTACCTAAGCGTCGTTGGCCTCTTCGGGGACGTGTACCTCGAATGATCGATACGAGGAGGTAGAAGAATAGATGGAAACGTGCGTGGAAAAAATTCAGATCACTAGACAGCGTGTAATACCTGTGCGAACCGTGTAGAGTGCAACAGAGTCCAAGATCAGAACCCTTGTACCGGAGTAATCCGTGTTCATCGATTGCCAATGTTTAAGTTGCCCCTGTCGATTGCAAAAAAGAAGCATTTGCGAGGCTTCGCAAGATTTCTCGACACTCTCGTTTTAAGATGAGACTAAAGACCATGCTGCTCTGTCGTTATACTTATCGATATTAATAGTTTGGCTCAGGTTTATGCAGCTTTGGGCTACGCGAAGATCTGTCAGAGCTTCAGAGCGAGAGTCTCGAGAGCTAGGATCAACGTAGCGAATGGATCTTGAGTATCTTACCCTCGGGATTGATCGTTCATCCTTAGGTCAGATGAGATGAGAGAGACGCGTTGATCCCAAGGCTTAGGGTCTAACTCTAATGTCGCAACCTTTCCTTTCTTCTATAATTTTTGGTTAAACATGCTGTAACTTTTGGCGAAGGATTCTGTAACGTTTGCGTAACATTTTTGCGTCTGATGCTTCTGATATCCCTCGCTTTCCTTGTTCAATTCTGCCACGGTAATTCGTATCATGGGCTAACTATATCACTGAGAAAAAAACCTCCTTTTGTAATCGCTTGTAATGCTTCTTGGAGTGAAAATCATGATGAGAAGAAAATCTCGATTTAACTCTGTACTTTACAAGGCAGTATATGCGTATCGATTATTGTTACCAAATTGACATATGGCTGAAAAATCTAGGATTATTAGAACGACCTAAAGTTCAACTGTATTCACTGACAATCCAACTACTGGTCGAGTATCTAAATTCTTGTTTTGTATTTGATTATACACCGAGATGAAAGACGAGAGACTGGAATCCGTAGGTAAAGTAGGAAACTGTATAAACGGGTTAATTTTCTGTTCATGTCGAGGAATTTTAACGAAAACGCCATCGAATTACCACATAGTAAGGCGACGGATATCGTACCTTGAATGCACTCAACGTTCCACACCAGAACTTTAGATACGACAATCAATGGACCCCGAGAAATCATTCGGAACGAATTGTTGCGTTCTTCGTTGCGGCCAACACGCCGGCTAATATAACAATAATCCATTACACGTGTTCCTTTCCGGTGATGGAAACGCGCAGGAAGGCTGCACGAGGTTAACGAAAGGTTTCGCGAAATCGAAGGAAACCCATGCTTATACATTCACATGAACATCGACTGCTATTTGACTGTATGTAAATTTATAAATGTCATTCCACTGTTGCTGCTCCGAGTTAAATCGACGTGAAGAATCGATTTTACACAGTGCATTCGTAATTCACTTAGATTAGTTAAACGTTGTCACACGATAAAAATCTTGTTCCCATCTGTGGAGAAATCGGTACAATAATGTTCTTACATATAAGGATAACGTAATCGAGGATCATCATTGTACATGCACCTGAGAAAGGCATGGAAGACGAAACGTGCTCAGAAATTAGATTAAAAAAGAAAAACAGAGACAAATTGCTCCTATGAACAAACACCAGGAATATTGTAAACGAACTTAAAAATGGAAGAGAACATTTCTAGGAAAGAAGGAGCAATTCTGTACCTTCCTTGTTCGTCACTTTAGGCAAATTAACAAATTCCACCGTCTGATATAAGATCTAGCTACGATCTTTGCCCACGATAATAGATTTAACAAGAAAAAACAAAGAAAAATGAAAAAAAAAAACGCTTAGGTGAAATTAATCGAGAAAAAAAGACTCTTAGGATTCGTTGAAAAATCCCTTCGATGGTGCTTCGTGGATTAGTGCTTGATCGAGAATATCGAGAAGAAATCGTTGAACGACTTACTTCGATTTAGGAAATTATCGTGGGCGCTAATTACACACATAGTCTCTAAGATTCTAGACTTAAGGTAACGCATATTGAGTCGCTCACGATTCAGATGCCTGCTCGGTGATCGTGACAAGCTGGCAAGCTTCGGCGAATCTCGATCGACCTAACCTTAAGCTCCGTTTCCATCGCAAAGCAACGAGCTCTTTCGTACGTTCATGGCCGAAGCCACGGCTGTTCAATGACACTGTTCAGCTGTTCGAGGTCTCGAACAGCAACCGAGCAGACACACAAGGTTTTAAATAAGACTCTAGTCCTGTAAATACGTAGCTAGACGAAACGTGAAATGAAAAAGAACGATCGGCAGAACTGTTCACCCTGGAGACATTCTTCAGGTATACCATGGTAAAACGTTCGTGGCCTGCGTCGAGATTCCACCATTGTCGTCCATTGCAAATCGAGGAAACGTTATTCCATTACAAAGACCAATTGTTATTTCGTTGAGCCAGTCGAGATGTTCATACCTGCAATCATTCAAACGAAAAAAAAATATTAATTCCAAGAATTGGAATTTATTCGAATAACAAACTACGTGTAACTACTCTATATACAACATGGAGGAACAGTAAAATGGAAGGAAATGAATCCGAGAAATTTTCCAAGAATTAAAATTCCAAACGCATGCGCATAAAGATCTATTTTGATAAATTGCACGAATTATTTCCATACCGTTCCATATGTTGTTCAAGGATAAATACGGGTTATTATACTTATGTACATACATTCGAGTCAATTAAACAGCTCGAAGCCAACGTACTGATTGCATTTAATCCCATAATATATGACCGTGTAAAAAGAATCGAGATGATGGGCCACGAACGTATTACGAAAGAGGACACTGGTTTCTGGTATATCCGACAATATATTTACATTAATCGTAACGGTCTAGTACGCATTCTCGTATGTAGTTCACTCTATGGCGAATTGTTCATGCACCCGTAGGGAGAAATGGCGGGAGGAAGAACGAGCGCAGGAGCGACGCCAAGCGGCGCGTAGCGGAAGTAATTCGACGCGAAGCAAGCCGGGTACCAAAGGAATAATTACCAGTCGTCGACCTAAAATTGCCCTCGACGCGAATCGACTTCCGTTCACGAGGGACAGAGAAGAAAAGGAAGAAGCCGAGGCTCGTCGTGTCGTTCAGCAAATGCACTTGCCTGTGCGAAAAAATAAGCGTGTGCCAAAAGATGCGTTGAATTCTTGTTTAGCGTTACGCGAAGCTCACGAGATGTTTTCGGTCTCCGATGTACTTCATCCGACACGAGTCGTGGCCGACGAAGATCAAACGGAACGGGAGAGAATGTCTTGTTATTAATTATTTAAGAGTTATCCCTCGTCGAAGATACGTCACACACACACACACACACACACACGCGCGCGCGCGCATACGTACATACATACATACATACATACATCCATCCATACATACATACATACATACATACATACATACATACATACATACATACATCCATCCATCCATCCATACATACATACATACATACATACATACATACATACATACATACATCCATACATCTATACATACATACATACATACATACATACATACATACATACATACATACATACATACATACATACATACATACATACATACATACATACATACATACATACATACATACATACATACATACATACATACATACATACATACATACATACATACACGTGCCGTGCTTTGGAAGACGGACCGAACGGCCATACGACACGGCCCCTCACTCCACGCCCCATTCTCGTATAATCGACTCGATGGAACTTCGTTGAAACGTTGTACACAGTCGTGAATCGAATTGATGCATTCCTTCCTTTCGGGATCGAAATAGAGCACGGCGTACGTTCGTGAATCGAAAAATTGCGACGCGCCTTAACGTGTCTAACCTATACCCTAGAAACACGGATTTCGTTATTTACCAATAACAAACCACTCATCGACGTTCTCGATTCTCCTTCTTTCGTTTTTAGAGAGAAAAGAAGAAAAAAGAAAAAAGAAATATTGTGATAGAAAAAAAAACGTAGGAACTTAAGGCGTTATAAAGGTTATGATTTTAAGCGATTAATTAAATTATCACTTAAGGATGCGAAAAGAAAAAGAAAGAAAATAAAACATTACCAATCGGCCAGACCCCCGGTTAATCTAGATCGTGGTCGATACGCCCGATGCGCGCGACTCGAGCCCCTTGCGGCGACGACGCGAACTAATTACGATTCGATCAATCGCATCCACGCGATATGTTGTCGATGAAAGAGGCTGATTAAAGGATATGATGGAATTACATATATAAAGTATGTATTCATATATATGGTAGATGTACGATTATACTTTACATATAACGCCGGTGGAAACTATCCCCACTCACCCTCACCCCCACTCCCATCCCCACCCGGTTTTTCACGTGCGTCATTCCGATTATTCTTCTCAAAGTCGTTTCTGTTTTTCCGTTCGAAATTCAGTGCGAATTTCGGTTCTTTAGTTCCGTCAAGACTGGTGCACAAAGCGATTTCAAAAGATCTGTCGGTTATCGAGAGTCGGTTCAAACGTCTCATCGGGAAGAAATTATCTTTATCACCTGAAATCAGTCGAGAATAAAATTGCACAATCTTTGCAAATGGGTGAAGAGAATTTTTGCCTTTATTTTATAAATTCAGACACGAATGAAACAGCTATTTATATCGAAATTGTTATATTTTTAATTTTACAACTGTTTGTATTCTTATTCGTAGATTTATAGGCATCGAAATTTTTTAAGCTTCGAAACCGAGGTCTTCGTTTCGAGATGAGGAAAAATAAATAGTTGAATAAAAACACGAGCGGCGATAGCTTAATAAGAAACGCTTTTTACAATAATATTAATTATCGAGTATATTTATATCGGTACCAAGTCAGTAAATTATCTTTAGCTAGTTAAGGAGTTAAAGTTATACTTAATACGTGCTAGTATATCAGTTGAGAGTTACAGATGATAAAAACTTGTATTATGTATTCAAGGTATCTACGATAATATCTTATTCTATATTTGTTATGAAGTGTTATAGTGATTGTTATTGATCTGTACTAAATAAATAAGATATGACAAGCGCAGAAATTTGTATCGTGCTAGATTGAAGAAATATCATGAAAATTCAGATAGCAACTCGAAAGATATAAAAATGAAAGAACTCGAGCAAGGAGGTCGCTGTGTTCGTGAAACTAATTTCTCGATAGCCTTCCTTCGTAATACACGATGGGAGCGTTGACCATTAATCGGTTCGGCGAAATTACTTCGCTAATAGTACCAATTGTGATCATTTACGAGGCATATGCAACCTTTCATATTCGTGATTCAACACTTAAAGAGATCATAGACCTGTTTAATAGGTTACGCGATATCCGAAGAAATACCTAACCTCACAAACGATGCATCGAGCATTTAGTCTTTTAAGAAACACCAACGATGTCAATGTCAATAATAAACTCAAAACTTTCTGTAAAAATTTTATTAAAAGATTAAGGATTACACGCATATAATACGTTGATGGGAAATGCGTTTCTTCGATTCCGCTTATTCAAGTCTGTTTACGTTATTCGAACTGCACGAATCGATCTTTTGAAATCTATTTGTAAGGAAATCAGTAATCGCGTTTCTTCTGGCCAGAGTCCGTCGACTATCGAGAAATCGAGGACTTCCGTTTGGATCGGAAATACGACGAAACGATCCCGTATTGTTTTGAAATTTCCTGTTAATAATAAGTACACGTACACTCGTAACGTCATAAACGGCCGTACGTATGTAGTTTCTCGTCAATCAGGCAATTATCGATAGAGAGCGCTATAACGATTTTTTATATCGACAGCTATTATCACTGTTTTTCACCGTTCTTTTTATACTACGTAGATCGAGGTAGAAGTATAAACACCGATACGGCCTACTTTTCGATAGCGTATAGTTAGTTAGTCGACCAACTAACCATCGCGATGGGACACATTTCTGATTGTGAGTTCGATCGTAAACGGAGGCATCTCCATCTGGAGGCCGTATTTTTCTTTACTCGATCGCTAATCGATCGGTAACACCAGCTTCTATAAAACGAAAGACGCATGATCTTACTTTTAGCCTCTTCGGAATGTATCAATTATCGAACACCACTTAGCCTACTTTTACGCCTGTTATTATTATTACTATTATTATTGCTATTATTACGAATATTATTACTATTATTATTATTATATGATTATCGTTAACGTTAATAATCATCGATTTATTACTATTCTTGTTATTATGATTATTATTATTGTACCGCTACGATTATTGTTACTCGCCGTTATTATCATTGTCATCACCACGATCGAATTAAAAAAAAAAAGGAAAAAAAATATAGTATGCTCTATACTCGGTATCTGTGTCGAAAACACCTATGCATATATTAATGGTTATTGCTATATATGACTAAAACTCCAGTACAGTAAGGAACACGAACACTACACTCCTCCTTCGTCCCACTGATTATAAACAAAGAGACGTCGTTCGATGAACCCATGGTAAACGAGCTACATCGCCATCGCGGAGATTCGATCCCTCGAATTCTTGCGAAACATTCGATACATCAAGGAATCTTAGTCTACGACTCGACGACGATCATACCTATCGAGATGTCATGTACTATGGACGACGTTGTTCCCGCAAATTTTGTACGTATATCCCCTAGTTTCATTTCCAACGAGAATATAAAACAACCGATGCGAGTTATTGCGAAAACGGGAGACAGAAAGTAAGAGCGAGCGAGCGAGAGTGAGTGAGAGAGAGAGAGAGAGAGAGAGAGCGAGAGAGCGAGAAAGAACGCGAATGAAGGGAACAGAAACGATAATCGATTCTTGTGAGATTTATTACGCATAGCGAACATGTATGCAGGTACACGTTCAGATGCAAGGCGATGAGAAAGATCGATGAAACGCATTGTATTCATCCCCGACACACACCTATTTATTTGTACATTATTTTACCGAATAAACGTGCATCTTTTGCATCCTTAAATTATATGCTTGTGTTATTTATCCTTGATATGTGCACCCAAATTAGCTCTACGTATATATGAATTAAGAATCCTAGGATACTGAAAAAGGATAATACCAAGTTAGTGCAATTCACTTTAAATTGAGTAATCAACCATCGGTAAGAATATTTATGTAATAACAATATTATATTATAATAACATAAATCTATTAATAATATTAAATTGATAGTGTAACAAATAAATTAATAATAATACTTAAAATATAGCATACAATATATATTTATAAATAATATTATTATATTATTAGTATTATTATTACAAAATTAGTATTATTATTACTATGATATAACTATCATATTAATTTATTTTTAATACACTTAATTATACTAGTTAATAATAATATAATATTTGTATAGTAAAAATAAAATATTTTCTATAATTCAAATATTTAAATCTTTAAGTAATGCTTAAACACAAAAAAAATTTAATTATAAAAATCGATACCTCGAAATGAAAAAATTCTTATTACACTTTATAGGCTCTGACATGTGGTTGTAAAGTTTGTTGAAGAGAGATTGGAATGACATTTTCTCTTCATTTTCTTTATTTTTTTTGTACCTATCGATGGACGAGAAACCAAAAAAGAAAATGTAAATATAAAATATAATGTTCTTATATTTAAATGTATAATTTTAATAAAATACTTTCTTTAGTAAAATCTTTTTTAATTTCACAATCCTTCATTTTTATTTTATAATTTAAATTTGTTAATTTTTAATTTTTAATTTAATTTTTTCGTTTTATAATGTATTTATAGTTGTTGCAAATTTTTAATAAAATATAAAAAAATCCTATTAAGTTAACCTTAGTTTTTAACATTTCATATTGTACATCATATGAAAATATACATATGAACACCCCTTACCTACAATGACTCATTTACAAAATCCTAGTTTTTGAAACTTAACGAAACTTAAATTTTTTTTTCAACCGTTTGTTGTTCATATTTACATGAAAATGTTGTTTGACGTTAAGTTAATAATTAATTAAAAAAATATTGAAAAAAACCGATAGATGTAACGATATATATATACTGATACGTTCACATAATAGACTATAAAATAAACAATATTTATACAATAAAAATTAGGCACAAAATATACTAGCCTAATGACCGTGGTAGGCCCGAAAACATTCTGGGCAAAGCCCAATTACTCCCCGGTGGTCAGGTGGACAACCATCGCAAAAATATTTCGTCGTCTTTTTGCAATGTCTGCACGTTTTCCTCTTGTGTCTCCCAGGGTTCGATGTGGAAGGATCGGAACAGGATGGATAATGCAGAATGGTAGGATTGTCTTCAATATCTTCTATAGACTCTGAGATAGACGTCTTGTTGTCTTCGCGGTCCGTTTCAAGTGTAGATCGAACTAAAAATTGAAAAAGGTCTGAATTTCTTAAATAGAATAATTAATAAAATAGAAATGCATAATTGAAAATTTTATCGTAACTTTTACCACGATTAAGCTTTTTTCGTGTTTGAAATGGTTTCAAAGACTCTTCTGCAATGAAACAAAAATATGTAATTAGTAACATAAATCGTGATATATAATGTAATATATATATATATAATTCTGATTGAAAATGTTTGTCAAAGTATCGGTAAGTAAATCGTACAGAACATAATTTACCATCAGAACTAGATAACCTTTCACGTTTCATTTTCAAAGGTATGTAACAAGAGAAATTTGTTTAACAATATTCTGGGATAATACACTAAATATCGACTTCTTCGCGGAACCGAAGCCAACAAGAGTGACTACAAACAATATAGAAACAATACACTAACCGTTAAAGAAGTGATTATGGCGAGAAGCGATTGAATAGGAAAGTCTGAGGAATGGCATCTCGATATCTGTATCGACCTCGTTGCACAAGAGCTCCCTTCCCATCGATACATATATCGACCTCTCGCTAAACGTGTTAAAACTTCAATCGTGTTCCATGAAAATAAATTTCTCCCTAAGTAAATTAAACGATTTATCACGCGTTAAGTTTTACTTCGTGTTAATTTTTGGATAATTGAAAAAAAAAAGAAAAATTATATAACAAAATTTTTATAATCATTAATATAATTATTCACTAAATTTCACTAAATCAATTGTGAAAATTTGGGATTTCGTGTATCACTTAATATTATCGGTGCAATTAAAATGAAAACTAATCTTAATGTTAATTTTAATGATTAATACAGCAGAATTACATAAAACACAATGCATGGTATTAATTTCTTTTTTATTGTCCTTTTATAACATAGTGCACAATAAATAACGTTATATATGTAATATATATAATACATATACGATATTATGTATATTATATATATAATCCATCTGTCACAGTAATCGATTCCTAAAAAGACAGATTAGTTATATCATGAATAGTGTTGCATATAAATAAATACGTTCACAGTGAAAGGACAGCGATAGCTGGATAATATTAATGAACTTACGGCTAAACACCTTTCTCGTTGATATTGTATCGATTAGATAGGAATTTGATAATTTAAAAGATATTGAGAACAGTGAAGAATTTCACGAAATAGTAGGATATGAATAAATAGATGATAAGTATCGACGATACGTCGATGTAGGCATATGTATACGACCGAGAAAAGTCATTTAAGTTGAATACATGTATGTATAATAACATTTGGTACTCCATGTAATATTTCTCATTAATTTCTTAATACGCATCACAGATATGTCGTTGTTTATAGAAAAGAAAAACATAGTGGTAACATTGTGAACTTAACTTATACATTAATTCTAAAGTAGGCAAATCGAAATAGCATAGTCTCAAATACTTAATCAATGGAATACGTTCACAATACAGAATTATAAATAAACAATTCACATTATCGTACAAAACAATTACGCATACGTACACGCATAAAATCAAGAATAAAATGCGCGTTCTTTTTTTTTTCTTTTTTTTTTATGTCACTCTGTTTGTTACTATCGAATAAAAGGATAATCTCAACTCTTTAAGTTCTATCGTTCCTAAATTACGTATCTGTATAGTTTAGGCTGTTCTCAGAACATTGAAATCGATTGAAGACACTTTATATGTCAAGTAGTAAATTTTGCAATTGCATCAAAATTAGACATCTCGCTTTATGTGACAATCGTTCTATAAATGAGGCTAACTGATCGGTATATGTAACTGATGATTAACAAACTCGATTTCAAGCTCTGTTGCTTATTCTCCGAAAGTTTAATAATACGGAGGTAATTTTTACATTCGGCGTTCAACAACGTCAATGAAGGTGTATCGTACAATTATATAACATTGCTAGCTACAATATAGTAAATATGATACAACATGGGAATCGGTAATCACAAAAATATAATTAACATACCGAAGTACCATCGCGTGGAACTTCGAGGCTGAACTATGATCATAACACCAACAACTTTTATTAACAGTTACCATGAACTTTTATGCGGAGTTATACAATAAATATTAAGCTTGTAGCAATTGTGCGTATCAAGTGATACACGTATTGATGTGTCAACTCCTTTTCCCAATTGTTAATCTCAATATTTAAGCATTTGAACATGTTAGTTTAGCACAAAAGTATCATAGAAAAGATTTACAATGTTTGTCAGATTTTTGTAACTTTACAATCGTTATTGCAACAACAGTAAAGTAAAAAGTCAAAGTTGTTCTTAGTACAATAATAAATAAATTTACGAATGAACAAATATTATGATTAATACATTTATTGATTGACACAATTCACTATCAGTTGACACGATTTACTTAAAATTTGATACATCTAGCAAACATGATAGTGTTCTTACATAAAAAGTTCATTAAACTTTTTAAAGCGTTGAAAGTTTATAGCAAGAGTGTAAAATGAACTTTCATTAGGTGCTTCAATAAATATATGGCTTGATCAGTTGAGAAATGTTCGACATTGAACAGATTTATAGAACACAGAGTTTATGGAACAACTGTTACAAATTTTGGAACTAATCTTAAAATAAACATGTTTTAACATATTCTATTTACGATTTCATTATTTCGAAGAACCGAAAATAATCGCTATAATTTCTTATTTACGTTCGTGAACAAAATATTTTGTACATGTTTATAGAATAAGCCTTTACAGATCGTCATTATAATAGTGTATAATAATGCAGTGCTTATTTATGTTTAGACGTGTGATTAGCTTAGTCAGTGTGTTAGCTTAATCAGTTACCAACGTCTTAAGTTTATTCCATAACAAGAGTCGACATATCTTTTAATCAACAAATCTATATTGAGATACAAAAACACACACAGTTTAAAAATATATGTAACATGGAATTCTTACGAATAAAGCTTGAAACCGCTAATTAATAACATTAACTACGTTCATTTTTCTATTTAAACTCCTTACGAAGGAGTTTTTAATTCTGTTACTTTTGTGTTGGGGGAATTGTAACTGGTTTATGGCCAACAATTTTAATACATTTATTGGTCGCAAAACTTTAACAAGTTAGAAGATTGAGACAGGATTAAGAACGATACTATTAAAATAAATTATTCTTCGAATTTATTATTTGGCACTAGAGAATATAGTTTCAATACTCGAAACGAAAATAGTGTCCAAAATCTTATTATCTCCATTATTATATTTGTATTTTCTTTTTTGAATTCCTAATCCAATCTCAGTTGAACTTTGAATGTAAGGTGACTTTATGTGTTCCATAATGAACATGGAATACATATATAAGAACCCCAATCACATCATAAATGTTAGCTGAACGAAAGCACATGCTATTACTTAATTATGTAGAATGTGCTACTAAATTTCTAATGAACTACTAATACATAGAATCTTAACATTATTGAGTAAGGTATTTCATATGCCCTTAAACCACAGTTAAAAGAATTAGCAGTTTCACAAAATTAATAAAACTGCGAGCACCACAGGCCTACAATAAATCGTTCAGAGATCCGTTGTAGAACTTCAGCGCTTTTTGTACAAAATTTTTGAAGATTTGTATGATACTTCTGTATTTCAAACAATAAGGATATTTTGGTCGATGAATGTTAACTTTTCTCACATGTTTCTGCATATGATTATGAACGTAATCTAAAATAAAACTTTCAAAAAATACACAGATAATAAACATGTAAGGTTTCCTAATATATGTTTATAATGTACATGAATTTTACTTTTGTATATAAATTTTTTCCAAGAAATTCTTTTTACATACATATATAAAACCTACATAATGAAGTAAATAAAAGTTTCCTTTATATATATAAAAAAGAAAAATGAAAAAAAAGAGACAAACATTTTTATTTCACATGTTTGCTACTGACAATGATACTTTTCTTGTTACTTAAATGTATATAAATAAATAAAACGAGGTCCGATCAAAAATTTAATCGTTGGTAAAATCAACTGTTCCGTGCGTTTTTATCATACTTTAACAGTACACTTTTCTCTTAACAAGATCCGTAATGGATTTTCTTGGCAATTTCTTCAGCCGATATGTCTTGTATTTAATCGTAGTTTTCCGATTCCTGTTGTACCAGTTTGAACCGACGCGGACTCTTGACACACATCGATCCATGGCCATCTACAGTGAAGCGACCTTTTCGTTGAAGATATCGAGTTATATAACGTGCAATTAACTGTTGTGGTCTGAATTGCCATTCATTTAGGACTTCTTTTGGTGCCAGCACCTACATAGACAATGATGAACTTAAAATAAATGATTGAATAGCACATTTTAACATTATCGTTAATGTCATATATATTTCATGTTAAAATAAAAATAAAGTGATTGTTCCATCATGGGACACAACATAGAAGACACCGTTACGGTCTTCTAACAGCCAAATCTCAAATGCCGAAATAACTGGACCCCTAGAATTTCCTAGTTTACAATTCCTTCAATTTACATTTTTGGAAAATTTCTTCTTATCCGTAGCAAGAAATTAAGCGGAAAGTCTACCTATGCTAAGCAGGACACCCACGGTGACATGAGACCCGAAATGACTCCGACACACAAGGTCCAACAAAGATAGACTCGTATGTATATAAGATTACTAATTGATTTCTTTCTCTGCGACTACCCTACCCCACGTGAATATAACATAGCATACGCGATAGCATAGAGACATCTATATATATATATATATATATAGAGAGAGAGAGAGAACTCTTTAAGTCCACTGTGTAGGTATGTACTTTTTACAACATATTAATCTAACGACCAACCCTTTCCCACTGCTAATGCCGTTAGAACTTTTGTGTCAAATCCCGATTGAAATGCGTATATATCCTCATAATCAATGCCTCTTTTCTAAAGCCCTTCGCTACTACTTGGCCTTTATACCTTTTGATTCCACTTCCCGGATTTGTTACTTTCCTTGTAAATATCCATTTACAATCTATTGATGTTACATTATATAGTAATTCCTCAAGTTCTCACACATTATGTCTTTTAAGGATTTCACCTCTTCTTCAGTCATTACTTTAAATGTCAGTCATTGTATAAATCATTTCCTAATAATACCATCTTCATTTGATGATTTCATAGATAGTTTGTACTATCTAATTTATTTATCGTGCAAGTTTTAGCTTTTGCACTTATATCGTTAACACGTGATTCCTTTACGACTTTAAAATTATATATCACTCCATGTGTTGTACTTACAACCTCAAAATTACTGGACCCCTAGTTATTCTTATATTTAAGCTATTTCTTAAAAATTAATATATAATTAACAATACAAATGTTATATATATATACATATATAATTTATAAATTTTGTAAACAGATACTTGTAAACATGGAAAGAGACAAATAGTACACTAGCAGACCAGCTTCAAAAAACTGGTGCATTTGAAGATTCCCAACCTTGTCGATACTTCCACTTAAAAAAAAAATCCCATGTTTATTATACAAAAATATAAAACAGAATATACCTGATCTCCTTTGAGTCGATCTAGCAGTGTTACACAGACAACGGCAGATTTAATACCCGCGTGATGTGTGAGAGCAGCGAATGATAGGCTTTCCATTTCTATATTTATTACGCCAGCTTTATACAACTTGTTTAAGTAATCCATTTTATCATTTTCCGAATACTCGCAAAATGCACCGTCCATACGTCCCTGTCCTTCATAGAAGTCGTAAGTACACATCGTTTTACCGACCAAGGTATCATAAGGGTCATCACGGTGCGCTAGTGCCTTCAGATCACGAGCTAGTTGCCGATCGAGCTTAGCAGGCCTTCTTATCATTTTTCCCAGGACAGGCTGAAATAATACAAAAATACAGGTTAATATAGGTTCTTTTACAAAATCTTACAAAATGAGTTGATTGTATCAGCAAAGATAGTAATAAAATTTACGTTATCACACAATTAAAAAAATATTACAAGGCGTTTCCTTCGTCATTTCAAGTATTCCAAACCTTTCAAATAACTTATATTATTTTATCGCAGCTTGACTTTTATTTATTCCAAAGTTCTCTTTGATCCTTTTGCTTTATAGCAGTTTACATTTATCTCTTTTCTCAGCGTTATTTTAAATACAGAATCAATTAAAAAATGGACGTAGCGTTTGCTGACCACTGAATATCTTGGACGAGAACCTCTTTTCGATTTTCCGAGTGAGATATCAACTTACCAGTTCTAGGTAAGACTTTAACATTCCATCGACCGCTTCCTCGGAAATTACCACGGTACCTCCTTCAAGGCCGATTCCACCACAGGTACCAATCCTAAAGAATATTGGATCCTTCACTTTTGCGTGGTACATCAGTTTAATCACTTCGTGAAGTAAAATTCCAACCGATGGAATGCCCATTCCGTGCTAAAAATAAAATTCACACGTTAGATATATTCTCAACTTAACGATTATTTAAGCTAAATATAAAGCGTTGAAAATAATTAAAAGAATAACTCGTAGGGCGTTTGCTCTGAACTTTGCCGCCCAACCATCTTGCAATAAAGTATCGCAACGTCTTTTCGCGCCACTAACGAAGATGTGACCTCTCTCTGTAACTGCGCAAGTTATTTTGTGCTCTCCCGCGTCATTGAATGCGGTATCGCATTACACGGATGATCTGCATAAAGCGTCGGTAAAAAATAGTCTGCTTGACCGACCGTAACTGGTGCATGTAGATATCCATGGAGGAAAAGAAGCGTATGATTAACGTGAAATGCAGGACTCGAAGTTTTCCTTTCGAATGGAATCTCGGTTTTACTTTACGGCTCAAGCGTGAGGCTTGCAGTCGATCAATACTTTTTACTATTACGGTAAGGCGAAAGATCATGTGCTATATCTTTTTTCATAACTCTGAACTATTCTTCCCTTTTATTTGTAGCAGTTATTGCGACATGAAATAAAGTTAGAAATTGTAAAAGATTTATGAGCATATACTGAATACGTGGTTATAAAAGAACTGAATTAACAGAAAATCTTCTAACTTAAGAAACGATGGTATATACCAAAATTAAAATAGTATCTTCAAGCAAGTTACTTTGAAGTTAGTATTATCTATCTATATCTGATGTTGAGGCAAAGGAAAATAAATATACGTTATCAATATAAATAGCATCGATGATACTTATTTAATTAAATAGAAATTCTTTTAATCGGTAATTCGTATAATCAAAATTTGTATCATCAATGTTCCACCATATTTAATTTCCCATGCTTAGACAAAAGGTACCGTTAACTATAAAAATGGTCCAAGTTAAAAATTCTAAAGAAATAATTTTATCGTTTCTTTTGTGTTATCTTCATTCACATTACAAAATAAAATTTCTTGGTAAAATAGCAAAGAACTAACTATTTAAAGTATCTAACCTAAACCTCCTTTTAATATTTCGAAACGAAATATACATTGCTCAGACAATTTTCATAATTACTGTGGTAAATATAAAAATGCAGGTTTAAAAAGTTAATTAATTGATTTGTAGATCGCGTGTCAACTAGAAGGAAGAAAAACCCAAGAAGAAAGTACAGAATCGCATAAATCTAAATACTGTGTAATAAATAATACGAAGTGTTACGACTACGTTATAATGTCCTGATTGGGTAATGATTGTCTGCGCTGCGACTCTAGTATAATTTCACGAGCAAGTATGGATAAGTAATGATCATAGAGCGTGATTGAGGTGCATGCCACACGGTGATACTACTTCGAGCGAACTCTTGTTCGGTAAGAAACGTTCCATTGACCCAATTTAAAAATTTGATCCTCTCTGCACCACGTTTATCGATGGAAAATTCTTGAAAAATTGGGGAATGCATATCAAAAACGACCATTGTCAATTTGTTTAAATAATAACGCTAATATAGTTGGTATTATAATTGGTATCACAAAAAGCGACGTATTTTTTTTATTTATAATACAGCAAGACCTCAATTAACCGAACTAATTAGAGTGTCAAGAAAATTGTGACTATGTTCCATATATCTAATATTTTATCTTTATGAAAAATAACTTTATTATACATACGTATATATGTAAAAGTGGTATACATATATATCAAAAATATAATCATGTTTTGATTATGTATTACACATTTATATTCTAATGGTTACCTATTTATCTTGTAATTATTGTATAATCATATTTTTCTTGAACTCTTGTGTTTTATATATTTTTCCAATTTTTCTAAGATGTCACATTGTAAATTGATTTTTAAATTCATGGTTTTGCAGTATTTTCTTCTTTTGTACTTTATGCAATCTGAAATATGTTCTTGCTGACGTTCCTGCCCTAAATGTTCTAAAAGAGTAGGAATATAGTTTTTCAAATCAACCCTATTTTTGCTATTCTTTAATCTACCTTTAACATTTAATATAATAAATATTAAATATAAATACAAAACAAAATATTAAGTATAAAAAGTAACTAATCTGATGAAACAATACACACACAGTGTGACATGTTTAGAGTACATTAGACAGGTGTATATTTATTTTCTCTTTGTATTGTCCAGATAATCGAATAATAATTCCAGATAAATAGATGTTCGGATAATCGAGGTTCTACCATGCAGAATGTCAAGAAACTTTGGTCAAGGATTCTACCATAGGTGCATTCTTGATCCTCGGATCAGTAGAGATCTGTGAAAACAAAATTATCGCAAAATTGACTTTCACCTTGGAACTTGCAATCCAAATTCGCTATCTAATCACATTCTTATCGTATTATATATTCTTATGACATTATCTTATCACATTATGATATTCTACTCCGTATTCGAAAGGACCAATGTTGCCACAGAGGACACAGCAGAAATCTTGCATCTTCTAATAAGTACAAGAAAAATTCGTCAATTCCGTGAAAAGAAGCTAAAGATAGTCGAGGATTATTTCTCCTCTTGAAAAAAATCAGTGAAATTGACAAGGGTCGTTTTTGAAATGAACCCCTTCAACTGGTACAAGACCAATATTGTTCCTAAGGAGCAGTGTCAAGTGTACTCACACTAATTGAAAGAACAGGTCCAACTTTGTACATAGCGTAACGATACGAATACTGGCTAATATCAAGGAGTGTCGTTCCGGCCGGAAGCTTGTGGCCTATTTCCTTCATTATGTAATATGCAAAGTCTTCCATGCGTTTTGGTGTTCCTCCCAGGCATACGAACTGCAAAACAAATTATAGAATTAATTATACATACGTTGTCGTTTTAATTGAATTAAGCTATTTAAGATTAACCCCGATATATGAGCCGTTCACTGCACAAATCGATTAACTCCACTTTTAGAAAAATCTTAAATTTAAGTGTCAAAGCACTTGGCATAGTCATAACTTTTTATATTTATAATAACTTTCCCCGATAATTAAGATTAACACCATCAAACGACAAAAATTTGGTGGCCACTGAATAATAAATAATTTATTTCAGAGGTCACTTTGATTAACTCCGTACTCTAATGTAAATCGTTGCAATAATGCAACTCAAATGCACTAGCAAACCATGAATGACAACGATGAATTTTTTAGTGCCGTCTTATCAGAATTTAAGTAAAATTTAGAAAAATTTAAATTTATTACTTTTTTCGCTTGCCAAATCAATTAACTCTTCCAGTAACATAAAAATGGTAACATTACTAACGATTACCTTTTGGCTATTTTTTCTTATAAATTTTATATACCGTTAGATGAAAGTTACATTTATATTTATGCATTCTACAATATTTATTTCGATTTAAATTATAAAGGGAATTTTAAAAAACAATATACATTACTTCATTGCATTTCTCCACTTTTTGTTTTATGGAGTGAATAGATAGATATAGGGCAAGGTTTTCTAAATAAAAAACGTTCAATTTTTGGTGCTCTGTTACCCTATAGTAAACATTTCCTCGTATGAGAGTTCTTTTAAGGAACGAAAAAATTGTTGGACCTTTGATCGTTGATCCTACCTCCTCAACGTCATTTTCTGCCTAGAAAAAAATTGCTCTGTGTGCTACTCGTTATGTTCTACATACACGCAAACTTTCATTAGAATCAAAATTTCTGGGTTAGAGAATTCCTTTGAAACATAGCCTTCGAACACTTTCGTGAGCCATTATTTCTAGAAACTTACTACATAAAGTTCGCTTATGGTTCAAAATTATTATTTTTAAAAATAGCTTAATTTTAATATGGGATGAGAGTATATATTTTTCGACTATAGGACTTAGTTTTGAATATGTATTAATTTTAAAATGGAACTAATGTCACTACCAAATATTATTTTAAAAATATCTTCTAAACCAAGGATTGCTTGTAATAAATAGCTTATTGTCAGTGTTATAGAGAATATGACAAGCTGTATCGTTTAATACATCAAAAAATATGATTCTATAAAAAAAAAAAAAAAAGTAATGAAATTGACCTTCATGTGCCCTTTACTTAGAAAAAACTTACGTCAAATTGTGTTCATGGAAGCATTCAACTTTTGCCTAAAACAGTTTTTAATGTCATCAATAGTTTCGAAAATATACGACTGGGTCTATTTAAAAGGGGCACCCTATGTATAAATATAGCATTGATTAAAATATTGAATGATTAAATATCGATTATTAATAATAAATATTGAGTATCAATTATTAGTAGATGTCAATAATCATTAATTACTAACAGATATTATCAATTACTGATGATATAGTATTATTAATAGTTATTATTCACGAATAAATATAACAACAGATCTCGTCAAAGGAATACCTTTTTCCACAAATTTACTCGAAGTGCATCAGCACTCATGCTACAGGTGCATGTGAACCAATTCCTCGTGCATAAACACTTTTCATGCTGGACCTCCTTTTCGACATGATTGACTTCGAAAATTTGTCTCCTATTACTTCTACTCGATTTCAAGTTTATAAATATCGATAATGCAAGCAACAAACAAAGCCTGACAAAGGCGAGCCAAAATTAAACAATTTGATTTTTCCATTCTATTTATTTAAATAATTATCTATTTGTTTTATCTATACCTCATGCATTTCATTTATCAAATTGTACCTGTATTGTAATTATTTTTAAAATTATGTGACTCTATTAATTTATCTAAGCCTGATTTTATTAACAACTGTAATTTGTTTAATTAACTTATTATTACCCTATTATTACCTAACTTATTATATTATTGTTTAATTAACCTATTATTAATTTAATAGTTAATTGTAATAATTAACAATTGTAACTATTCGACAAAAATGGTTATTGCACAAAATATAAAATAGTATCATTAAAATTAATCTGTTACGTTATTAGTAGAAATTTTACAAAATAAAATTTATTTTTCAAATTCCTCAAATAGTCCTTTTTATCAGCAAAATTAAACTTCGCTCGTAAATTAAATTTGAATAGCTTTTTTCCATACTTTAACTCAAATAGTTACAAGAAAATCAATAATTACCATACAGTAATTAAATAAGATTAAATAAAATATACGACTTAATATTTTTGAAAATATTATATCTGCTAAACAATTTAAAGTTACTTGCAATTTATATTTTAATATTCCTATCTGAATATTCCCATAGCTCGAATAATTAAATTCGTATTAATCATTAATAACTAAACTAACGATTAAATTCACACGAATTACTTATACATAACAAAAGATCAGAATAATTATAAATACACGCGTTCAAATAAAATATGCAATTTATGTTTTAATATTCCTGTCTGAATATTCCCATAGCGCGAATAATTAAATTCGTATTAATCATTAATAACTAAACTAACGATCACACGAATTACTTATACATAACATAATACACACGATCAAATAAAATTCACGACAGAATATTTTTAAAAATTATTCTTTCCAAGACGATCGCCTTTTCCCTGATTCAACACTGTTTCGCATAGACACGTTAAAAGGCCGGTTAAATCGTAAAGTGACTGAAATAAGACGAGCGAAACTTGTCCGTTCAATGCTGTTTGTAATTCGTAACAGTGGAATTGCTCTTTCCTTAAATGGAACATACGATTCCGTAGCTCACAGTTGCCATGCAACTGCGCAAAATAATACCTCGAGGATTACCACCTCCGTGTAGCCGAGAAACGCGCATAGAAGTTCGGCCATTGTTCTATTTAGGTCACGAAACACTGTACTTTCTTTTAATGGCGAACCCCTCATTGATACTCATCCCGTGAATACGTTCCATAGACGCGGTTTCGTTGATAGCATGAAAAACAACGCGAGAAAGAACGCGTACTCGCGATTCGTGCGAGCGTTTATGGAACGCGACGGTAGTTGGCGCTGCTGAGTTAAACGCTGGAAGGTAATTTGTTTGGAAATCGCGAAAGAGATGACTAGTCCTTTCTTTTTGATGAATCGAAGATTTTCTTTTAACACGATCACTACGATGAAAGTTTATGTTCTTAGAATGGCAAAATAAAATTTTTATTGCGATATACCAGTGTTTCTCAACCGATTTATCGTGACTAGTGGGGTGTACAGGATCACGAAAATATCGGAATTTTGATGCTTAGAATGGAATGGAATCGCAAGTATTTCTGGAAATCTCGAGAATTTTCGAGATTTTTTGAAAATCTTGGAATCTTGGATACTTTTAGGATTCTTGGAAATTTTGGGATCTTGGATACTTTTAGAATTCTTGAAAATTTTGGGATCTCGGATATTTTTGGGATTCCTGATTATATTCGGGATCTCGGATATTTAGGGAATTTTGAATATTTTCGGGAATCTCAGATATTTTCAGAAATCTGAAACATCATCGGAATCTCAGATATTTTCGGAAACCTCAGATATGTTCCGGACCTCAAATATTTTCGGAATCTCGGCCTAATCTCGAGAAATATTTCCATGCCATTCCGATCTGACATTTTTGGGATCCTGCACATCCCTAACCGCGACACACTGTACCGCAAGAATTCTATCACAGTTTCCCTAGTGATAAAAATATACAATATTTTGTCAAATACGATTCGAGTACTACTCGATCACTATGACGAAAAAATTTATAAAAATCGGTATTGAACATCTACCATGTAACATATCTACACGTTTGCTAGCTAATTAGAACAACAATAATGTTTATATATAATTGCATCCTACCAGTTGTGAACAAAATTGGAAAATTGCATGGGTCAGTAAATTTGCATAAAATTAGTTGAGTATTGCAATATGCAAATTGCATACAGTAGGCGTGGACGATATAGTGTAGCATGCTGGTAAAATCAATGAAGCCTAAGGAACACAAGTGTTTGACTTTCGGAACAATAGTATAAGACATTTAACAGGAAATAGGACGCGCTAGAGTCAACCAGGGCCGTACAATGACAATTTGGAACCAGTTCTTCTACTGCTGGGTATTATCGACAACTATTTCTCAAAAATCAAAATTCCTTTAAATATTCGAAATACTAAATTTAATAACCGTAAATTAATAACCACGAAACAGTTATTCACAGTTAAATATAGTTAAATACACTGATTTACAGCGAATAATATAATAGCTAATTTAATGATATATTTATACTGGAATATACTAGCAATAAATCAAATAATATAATAGGTAAATAATTTATTTATTAAATAATGAATAAATTTATCGCGATATATCGTTTCACTGCAATTAGGTATAGTATAATCATTTTTCTGAGAAACGAAATTGTTTAAGAATTGCTACCATCACTGCTTTCCTCCAATTATAGGGAAACACTGTGAATTCGCACGCAGTTAGTTACATAAGGCGAGTCCAGTAACTAGGCCAGACTATATCTCCGCTCCTATTGAAAGTAAATTATGGTATTATTACTATACAGGGTGCTCGAGTTATTATTAGCCAACAATATTTTTAAAAACTATTGGGATCGGAGAAAAACGAAAGAGGGAAAACTTTTACAGTTTCTTATGGCCTCTAAGGGTGTATGCCAATTTTCCATATTTACTATCATCCTTTGAGAAGTGAGGGAGACTTTTAATTCTTTAAATTGAATATCGTGTATTTGTTTATATTTATTTTAATTTGAAAATTAAAGATTTTTATAATATTCTTTCTGTAATTATTTATCATTTTAACGTGACATTAAATTTAACATTAACTATAGTATTCTCAGTAATCGTTATAGGAAATAACAATTATAGAAATTAAAATCAGAAAAGATAGCAACTTTGGTTATGGTTTTAAAAATCTTTGAAATATCGATGCTTTATTAATTTTATTTTGATATGGAATGTATAATATTTATTTTGCCCATAAGATTATGCGATGGTCATGGTATGCTAGGTCTTTGAACTCGTCTCGACACGGGCTATAATACTATTAAATCAAAAATATAAAGTGCCATTTAAAAACACGAAGGTGACCTTGACTTTTTTACCTAAAAATCATTTTCTTAGATTTAGTAATATTGGAACATGTAGCCCATCAAACACTACAAAAATTCTGTCTGAAACATTTTTTAATTGCACCACTGGAAATGCTTTAAAAATGGTGACAAAGCTTATATGTGTATACAGGGTGTTCGCGCTAAATACTATTCAGCGATTTTTTCAAAAACTATTATAAATAGAAAAAAGTGAGAAAGGAAAAAGTTTCATCACTTTTTATCATCGATAGAACAGTGTATATCAATTTTGCATATTTATATTATTTTCCGAGAAATAAAGGTAACCTTCAATTTTTTAAATACAGGGTATCCCAAAAACATGTATACACACTTTGCGTGATTATAAAAACAGAAAAAAAGAAAGAAAATTAGAAAGAATAAGGTGTGTATACGTTTCGCATTAAAGTGTGTATACGTTCTTTTGGGACACCCTCTAGAATGCCATATTTTTTTATGACATATGGAAGTATGTGTCAAGACGAGTTCATTCGTGTACTGTATGATGACCTTCGAAATTATAAAAGATTGGGAATAAATAAATTTTAACGTGAACACTATGTATATAAAATTCGGTTTTCTTGGAAATGGAGCCCCCTATGAAAAAGTTTTGTTCTACATTTTCGACTCAGTTTTACACGAGGAATTATCGCCTTACTAATTATACCACGATTTTCGAACACACTGTACAGAGCCTGCGCGATCTCGGTTAGGTTCATTCGTCGATTTGACTTTGAACGGGACAGATCAATACTATAACTAGGGTTGGTCCGAGATGTGGAAGGGTGGACAGTGGTCATCGACCAGTACCATGGACTAGCTGATGACCATTGTCCTCTTCACGCATGCTCTACCGCGAGATAAAAGACACGTTGTTATATTAATTTGATTCATAATTATGTAAGAACAAAAAATTATTTAACGAGCTATAACATAATTCTGCAGCTTCCTCGCGTTTCTCGCGTATTGGAAATTTTATTAGAAATCTTTGTACGGAAAATATCAGCTAGATAGACGGTGAAACAGTGAATGGGAAATGGGAAGAAGTTACGTAAAGAATTTACTACTTTCATTTACCTTGACATCTCCAAACATCTCGACGAGATCGTGGGATCCGCTGCCCAGAGCAAGATGATATAATATATCTTGATCCATGAGCTCGATATTTGGGTTTCGAAGGCGTACGGATCCATCGCTGTATCTGTAAAAATTCCAAACGAGAATGATATATTAGAAAAGTGCAATTCTTATACTTATTATAATATTCCTATACATATTCGACTTAAATAAAATCCATAAAACTCAATTTGTCCTATTATTGTATATTTAATTTAAATAAAATACATAAAACTTAATTTGTCCTATTCTTGTTTATTTAACTTAAATAAAATCCATAAAACTCAATTTGTCCTATTTTCTCGTTTATTTAACTTAAATAAGATCCATAAAACTCAATTTATCATATTCTTGTTTATTTAACTTATATAAGAAACATGAAACTCAATTTATCATATTCTTGTTTATTTAACTTAAATATGATCCATAAAACTCAATTTATCATATTTTCTTGTTTATTTGACTTAAATCAAATCCATAAAACTCAATTTGTCACATTTTTGTTTATTTAACTTAAATAAAATACGTAAAATTTAAATCGTCAAAATTTTGTAAATAAAACTGTATTCTTCATCTATACTCGTTAGTGTTTATCGATTAAAGCGATTATTTGCGATTGCGATACTGTAATCAATATGACGACATTGAGTTTCTATTTGTAGTTTCTTTTACGCACTTATTTATTAATAATGTATTAATTTAAATATAAAGTACGATATATAAGGGTATAAACATCATAAGATATTACAAAATATTGATATATTTAAAAATAAAATTTTAAAAGAAAAATAACAAAATATCGTAAAATGTAATAAATAAATAGAATAAAATTACAGAATATTGCGAAGTATTATAAACGAAATAGAACCAAACGTAGCTCGAAAAAAAAGAAAGAAGGAAACGATAAAGGGAAAAAGAGAGGCGAGAGAAGAGAGAGAAAAAAGAGGAAAATTAATTAACCTTCTCTTTTTAAGCAATTTCAACAGAAACCTGTCAGTCTCTCTACGAAATAAAAATATCCAACTTCGCATTCATGCGACAGGAGATATTCACGTCACACGCAAAACCGAAAAAAAAAGCTAAAAACAACACAATAACTGTAGGTGACAGAATTTCATTACGTTTGTTTGGCGTGAAAATCTGATGCAAACTCGGTGCACGTCCGAAACAAAAGCGGTACTATAGTTGCACATTATGAAACACTATATCGCATGATTATACGCGTGTGTTCCGTCATCGAACAAATAAATGCCACCATATAAATTTTTCATATGTACTGCACGAGTAACTCATTTCCCAAATCCATTAACTCAAAATTTTAAACGTAGTTGAATATGAATGGAAGTACTTTGGCACTAAAATTTTGAAAAGGAATGAATCACTTTGATTTGTGAACGTTGCGAACTCAATATGACGTTGATCCATACTATCTTTGTGAGTAAAAGCACGTGTTCCTCTCATGACTCACATCGCTCGAATCACTGCCAATTCGCGACTACAATACTGTGCATTTAATTGGCCAACGATCTTCCCGCTAAACTGACCACAAATTATCCCCACTTAGTTCCTAGATGGTTCTCTGCATTACCTACAATTGGTATCGGTGATGACTCATCTCGTAACGAATTATCGAAATTAGAAAAAATAATTTTCATAGTCGTCGCTTAATAGTTGAAAAATTATTTTAGCCATCTTAGCAAGAGTTTTGCGATCAAAATAATACGGAATATAATCTCTTCTGAATCAATTTTGAGTTCCTTAACCTCTCAAGTGACAGTAATAGTTATATACCGAGTGAAGTAGGTCATTCACGTATGGAAATACACTCCTGCATGAAAATATTCAAGTGTATACATTCGCCTTTAACAAAAGACACATGTACTTTAAATTGAAATGCTTGAAGGAAATCTCGCGATTATATTGAACTGGAAAATAATTCAATTTTATGGGTAATATTCATAGTACATTTATCACAAACATGCATGGTTGGTAGATAACAAAAGATTCTTAATACAATATATTATATTAGCTGAAAACATCATCAACTGAGGAATAAAAAATTTCAATATGGTATTTATCTATCCTTTGTGTGTTATGCAAACTTAAAACGCTATTGAGCACACTAGCGCCACCATGACTCATATCTACAATAAATGTACTGTAAGGGTCGTATATATCATATTTTATTACTTTATTATTTTATAAGAATTGAATATATATTGAATATATATTGAATATATATAATGATATATATATATATATATATAGATATGTACTAAAAATGTACTATAAATGTCACATAAATGCTTGAATTATTTTCTACTTACTAGATATACTACATTCTTTCAAATACTTGATTTCACATAAATATTTCTTGCTTACCGGTTAATTACCGAATCAAAATTTTTAAAAATTTAGAGATACCATCTTTTTATTATTTTCATAATATTTTAATATCCATGCATTTATAAAATTCAACTTTAATTTCAGAATATGCAAAAATAAAATGGCCGAAACAAGTTATTTTTTGATCTATTTAATAGTTCTATGTATTATTAAGTTCGCGTTAGATGAACGGCAATATGGCGGCAACTTCAGAGAACGCAAAGAAACCGCGTATATCAAAACCGTATAGAGGGTGTCTAAAAATATTGGGACCAAACTTTCTCTACGTGTTACTGAAGTTAATTATAAGAAGAAAGTTTATATAAACTTATCTCCGAAAAGGATTTATTGGAAAGATATAAGCATTCAAAAATTTATGAACAAAATATTTTTGATAATTATTTTAAAAATTTTCGAACATTTCTCATGTCACGAAAAATCACGAATATCTTTAAAAGCTTATATCCTTTTAATAAAATATTTTCTGACGTAAGTTTATATGAACCTTTTACATCTACTTGATCTTAATAACACTGTAGTCCAAGTTTGATCCCAACGTTTTTGGACACTCTGTATACTCGGAGAAACCACTGTATCGAGTTTTCACGTAGTGTCAGGTATCATATTGAAATGGAGATTAGAATGTAATGAAGTATTATCGTAATTAAATACAGTGCAGATACGACTTGTTGGTTACATTGTCTGATTGCGGATTATCAGTATTCTTATTATTGGCCAATACACGTCCACAGGTGTAACGGGTGACGCAAAAATTTCGAATATCGACATGATCGTATCGTTAACCATTTTCGCTGGAAAGACGTGTCACGCACGCCGTAATGCTTTTGTCACAGAGTCGCCAACGACGTGGTATACACGTCGTTAGGCAATTGTTACAGAAACATTGGACTGTTCTGGCACACGCGTCTATTAATTTCTTGCTACCGCAAATGGTCAAACGTTTGGTCACCTATGTTACCTAAATTTTTGTACATCATTTCGAGTTCTCCGACTTTTGACGACGGTAACGAATTTTCCTGAATCTCAAAATCGAAAAATCGACGCAGTGAAGCTTCGTGTCTACACTTGTTTGATCGTGCAAAGAGTGCTTCTCCGAAATTCCTCTCGTCATGGCAGATTGTCATGAGCACGTGAAAACTTATCGCCAGGGTCGTATACAGTGCGTTACAAAATGGCAGCACATCATTTTCGGCATTTCTTGAGGAATTTCGAAGTAGCATATACTGACAAAGAAAAATCATAGTAAGTCAAATTTGATTTTGCAAGACTAGGTTAGTATTATACAATGTGACGAAAGTATTGGAAAGAAGGACTATCTTCGGAATATTTTTGTAAATATAGCAAAAATCGATATTTTTAATTTATTTACTATATTATTAAGGGCTGCATAATGTTATATTATTAAAATTTTCTCTTATTTATAATACTGTTTGTTTATAAATAATACCTACACTATCGTTTTATCTCTTCCTGTGTTGTTAAAGAAGATACACAGAGTGTGGCACCTAACTATCTCTATAGGCATCTATATAGGTAATTTAATTAAATATTCAGGTGTTATTTCAAAAGCACCAGTGGTCGATTGAAACCCAATTTTGAAAGAGAGAAAGAGAGAGAACAGGCAGATCCTAAACGTAAAATATATGCCACTGATATATAATGATTATTTAAACAATAATTTAATAATTAAATAATTATTTAAACAATATAGTAGATTTTTAAAATAAAAATATTAATATTTGACTAGAAATAAATAATTAGATGCACGATTTACTTCATTTTTGCCTAGAAAAGATTATTCTCAGTTCCCAGCACAGTGAGAAAACTACAATACT